AGGCCTTCGAGGTTGTCCACGAGTACACGACACCGGGTAATTACAAATTATGGTAATGCTGGCCTGCTGTGAATGTGGAAGGCGAGGCTGAAAGTCGGTCGGGCTTTTTGCTTCTTTGACCAACCTTCAGTCAACGAGGTTGGTATTTCGTCTCTGAAAACGAGTGTGGGCTCACCCGCAGGTCCGCTGCAGGGGTCAACCAGGCGGTTCCGATTTGGGATCGTAGGCCCCACGGCACGTCGAGAGAGTATTAGAATTAAAGGTCAAGTGAATGAAGATGGGATATATTGTGTGAAGGACGGGTCTCAAAACGCCCTCGGGGCAAGAGTCTGGCGGCATGCAGCGCAGACCTGCAGAGGAGTGGGAGCGGCCGGCACGCTACTATCGTGGACGTAGGGGAAGACGGAGAGGCACCTCGTCTTCGATATGAATTGACCAGCGGGACCCTTGCATGAGGCGATGGCACGGCAAGAGCGGAGGTCGAAGGGGGTCGCAGCAGACGGCCAACAGCCCGACAACCAACGGACTGTTTGAGGTCGTTTTTCTGGTTCTGGACCCAGGGCAGCATGTGACGGGATGTGAGCTTGAGGTTTGTGATCACCAACCCCCTTCCCCTGCTCCCGAACAAGGTGCGAACATGCTCCATTTAAAAGGAACGAACTCAAATCCCACAGGCGAGCAGCCAAACACGGGCGAGCGATGGTTTTCGGGATCATGCCAATATTCCTGTGCTCCTCTCGCTCATGGCCCCCTCCCCCTCCCCCCCGACGCAAAAATTCGACAGCCTGACTCTAGGGTAGGAAAACGAACCGAAGAGAAGAAGGGCAGGGAAAGGAAGGGAAAAGGACTATCGCATGCAGAGAGACAAGCTGACGCCTAACCGAGAGAAGGCTACCAACCACGAGAGGCGCGGGTTGGTGCTCGGCATGCACGCCAAGCAGGGCGCTCCCGTTTCGGGCCAACAGGTCGACCATTGTGGAGGTGGGTGGGTGGGTGGCCCGGTTTGGGGGCCGCGCGCACTCGAAATTGCTGGAACGGGAGAGGGACCAGAAGCAGAGGCAAAATGGGGGGAGAGACAGGCAGTGCTGCTGGTGCTGGTGCTGCTGGTGCTGCACGTTGGTGCTGTTGCTACTTTCGTCTGCCGTCTGGCTCTAAATATATCAAGAGAGAAGCTCGCTTTACCGATGGCATGGGACTGGGGACTTACTGCGGACTTGGGGACAAAGAGGTTCGACACGGAAACCGGCTCGTGGGCCGCCTGGAATCATGACCCCAGGTCAAGCAAGGCTGTGCTCTCAGCTCAACAAGTGCAAGATGAGAGACAAGGCAGTGAAGAGAAAAAAAAACAGGTGATATCATTGATGAATGTTCGCCAATACCCACCCTCCGCCGCCGCCGCCGCCGCCGCTCGCCCCCTCCCATGCCGTCCGTCCCTGTTGTGTACCCTTGACCCCCTTTCCCAGTGGTCGCCTGTTCCAACGTCGCTCGCAATATTGCGCCATGTCTCTCACATCTCTTCGTTGCACCCAAAGACATCCGTGGTCACGTCGTCATGCACCGGCCCCCCAGCGCCCTCCTAGTCCCTTCCCTGCCCTCTTCTTCATGCCGCAGCGGTGCCCGTCCGCCTCGAGGCCTGGCTCGTTCCGGTACTGCGTTGGGACTGAGTGCCGGCGCCCGGCCTCGCGAGTGTGTACTTGGCGAACGCCCTTGCTAGAGCCTTCTTGCAGCTGACCTTCTGGCTGCCGACGAAGCTCTCGACCGTCACGGCGATGGCGCGGTCAATGTCGTGCGAGGAACAGTACTCCGACAGTCGCATGCGGCAGAAGGCCTCACTGATGCGGATGATGGCCTCGAGATGACGGACCTAAGGGGACCACTGTTAGTCTCAAAACGCGACAGGACCTTGTTGGCAGGATTGCCAAAAGAAAACTCACAGTAATGGGATAAGCACCCGTGGCCAGAGACTCGCGCCTCATGTCGGCGAACAGACGGGCCACCTTGTCCTCGTCCATGTGGTAGAGTTTTGGTGACAGGCGGTCGCGCGCGTAGAGGATGTACTTCCGCAGCAGCTCCTGGGGAATCTCGTTCTCCTTCCTCCGCTTCTCGGCCTCCAGCTTGGCCTTTTGCGCCTCGGATCGCTGCGTGTCGCCGGCGGCCACGTCCATCGAGTCATGGTCCTGGTCTTGCGAGAGCAGCGTTGGGTTGGGGTGGCTCCGGCTGTGCGAGCCAACGATGAAGCGCGCCAACCGCTCATCCTCCTCGGGCTCGACCGTGTCGCGGACGACGCAGAGGATATCGAAACGGGACAGGATGGGCTCGGTGAGCTCGACGTTGGCCGAGAAGGGAATGGTCGAGTTGTAGCGGCCGCCGATGGGGTTCGCCGCGGCGATGATGCCGCAGCGCGCCTGGAGCGTCGTGACAATACCCGCCTTGGAGATGGAGATGGTCTGCTGCTCCATGGCCTCGTGAATCGACGTCCTGTCCTGGTCGTTCATCTTGTCAAACTCGTCAATGAGGCACGTGCCCCTGTCCGCCAGCACGAGCGCGCCGCCCTCGAGCGTCCACTCGCTCGTCAGCGGGTCGCGCCGCACGCTGGCCGTGAGACCGACGGCACTGGCGCCCTGGCCCGTCGCGAAGACGGCCCTGTGCGCAGTCTTCTCCACGTACTTGAGCACCTGCGACTTGGCCGTGCCCGGGTCGCCCAGGAGTAGCACGTTGATGTCGCCACGCACGTGGTGAGAGCCCTTGCCGACCTTGGCAACGCCGCCAAACAGCGACAGCGCCACGGCTGTCTTGATGTCCGTGTGGCCGTAGATACTGGGGGCGATGGAGTTGACGATCTTGTCGATGATGCCGGGGTCGCGGGCCAGCTTGCGGATGGCCGCCTCGTCCTCCTCCGTCATGCGGAAACCGGCCAGTTGATCGTGGGACTTGACGACATTGTTGGCTTCGAGAATGGTGGCAAAGACGGGGAACCCGTTTCGGTTGTTGAGCTGTGCGTCGTAGTTGTTGCGGTAAATGCCCGTCACCTCAATCTCCTCGCCGGGCTTGGCCTTGTCGATGAGATCCCACAGCAGAATGACCTCCCTCGTGCGGGGAAGACGGCCGGCGGGCACTGTGCCGGGCGACTCCTGCAGGGTCAACTTCTGGTAGTTGCGGTAGACCGTCTTCTCCGAGTTGACGGTGAAGGGGCCGCGGGACTGGCAGCTCTGGCAGTACGAGATCTTGACCTCGACGTTGGACTCCTGCTGGAAAGGACCCAGCGTGACGCCGCACTTGGTACAGTCGAACTTGACGTATTTGAGCTGGGGAAAGACGCCTGTCCGGCGCGTGACGACACCACTGACACGGACGAGGCAGTTGAGGTGCGACTGGCGCAGTTGCCTCAGGGTGTAGTGGACAGGGAGGTCGAAGATGCGCACGTGGATCTCGGCGTGAATGCGCTCGTAGTCTGGGTAGTGGAGAAGGACAACATCCATGGCGACCTCGTCGAAGAGCTTGAGCATCTCGGCCGGCGCATTGGCCAAGAAGTACGCCAGAATGGCCTTGGACGAGGACAGGTGGTCATACGAGACCTCGAGCGTCTCGGCGTTGATCTCACCCAGGGTTCGGATCCGGTTGCCGTAGACGGACGAGCCGCTCTCGTCGATGTACTCGGTCAGGAAGGACTTGAACTCTCGCCTGATGGTCCTCTGCACGGACGACTGCGACACCCAGTCGGTCAGGCTCGCTGCCTTGACGTCCTGGAGAGCCTCGAGCGAGAGCTCCTCGTCCATGATGTCTTCGTCCATCGCATCGTCGGGGTCCTCGTCATAGGCGTGTCGCCGGCGACGGGGCTGTGCTGTGAGGTCGATATCGCCATCGTCATCCTCGCCGGGCAGGAACGCGGCGGGAATGCGCTGTCGACGGGCGACCTCACCGTCGCGGCGCGCGAGCTGCGCTTCGAGCTGCCTCCTGGTGGCCGGGTCCATCTGGTCGTACTCGCCCTCGTCGTCGATATCGATCCCTTCGTATCTGTCATCCTCCTTGCTCCGGTAGTCCTGTTCGAAACCCTCGCGGAAAAGGTCGACGTCATCCTCTGCGGCCTCGTCCATGTCGTCGAGGTCGTCTTCAATCTCTACATCCTCTTCAATGTCGTCGTCGTCGTCTCCTCCGTGGGCAATGTTGAAGGCGGGCGGAGACGAAGCCATGGGGCTCGAGGCAAGTCCGACGGAGGAGCCATCGTCGCCGTTGGTGCGTGATCGTTTGCGACTGGACCGCGCGGGCATGCCGCGGTTGGCAGAACTGGGGTGGTTGCGCAAGGGAGAACTGTGGGCGGCGGTGAGCAGGAAGAGCAGGAAGAGCAGGAAGAGCAGGAAGAGCAGGAAGAGCAGGAAGAGCAGACGAAGCGAGGGCTCGTCTTCAGAAAAGAGTCAGTCAAACTCACCTCATCGTTCGCGCTTGATGTGACGATGGCTTCAGATAGGCGCAATGGGTACGATGGAAAGGTGGGATGGGTTGTCGGGGTGATGGAGGAGGGGGGGGTTGGGATGTTGAGTCTGTGCCAGGGAGATAAATGGATATGCAAAGTGAAGGCTGCTAAGAAGAATGGGGGGGGGGGAAGGGGCCGCTCCTCGCTCCTTAACTCCAAATGAGGGTCTGTCGCGTCTCAGGTGCAACGCGTCAAGGGCAAAGCGCGTTAAGTGGCTCTAGACTGGTCTCGGTTGACGCGTAAAGTGGAAACGCGTGTCACAGTACCTACCTGAGCTAAGGTACTTCTGCAAAGCTCCCGTGTCTCCCCGGTACGTACCCTCCGTCACTTCCATCACCTGGAGCCTCAGTGCTACTCGAAGCTGCGTGCCCACGTCCATTCCATTTCCATGTCGAGTGTCATTCGAATTGCTGTTTTGGGACTTTGCACCTGAGATTGTCTGATTCGGCATCCCATATCTCCTTCTCATCAATCAGCTGCCCGCCTACGAAAGAAAAAAAAAACGTGTCTCCCTACGACCATCGCTCTGATGGACCCCCCTCCCCCTCCAGCTGAAGCTGTCGTGTCGTCGACTGCGAGGGCCAACGATGGCGTTTCCAGTCACAAGCGCAGCGACAGCTTCTCATCGCAAAAGTCGACCGACTCGCAGACCGCAGCCGAATTTATCCGCGAGCAGATGCAGCTGGAGGCCGACGCCCGCGAAGCTCTGCCCTATGTACGTCACCGATGCCGCTGATGCACACATCATTCATGGGGTGATGCACACATCATTCATGGGGGGGGGGCCAACGCTGACCTGGTCCCATCTCAACAGAGCATCGAAAACTGCACCAAAGTACTCGGTCCGCTTCGCCAGAGCGTCTTCGCCTGCTTGACCTGCACGCCCGCCCCCAAGAACCCCGCCGACCCCTTCACCCCAGCAGGCGTCTGCTACTCCTGCTCCGTCCAGTGCCACGGCGAACACACGCTCGTCGAGATCTTCACCAAGCGCAACTTCACCTGCGACTGCGGCACGACGCGCCTGCCCACGACGAACCCGTGCTCCCTGCGCATCAACCCGGCGACCAACACCAAGGGCGGCGTCCACTCGGAGGAGCCCGACGTCAACAACCGCTACAACCAGAACTTCCGCAACAGGTTCTGCGGCTGCGAATGCGACTACGACCCGTTCCAGCAAAAGGGCACCATGTTCCAGTGTCTCGGACTCGGCACCACCGAGACGGGCGGCTGCGGCGAGGATTGGTACCACCCCGGCTGTCTCGTCGGCATGGGCCCCGCATGGTTCGAGGCCATGAAGGAGACCAAGGAACCCAAGGGCGGCGGCATCGCCAAACCAGGGGACCAGGCGGCCGAGGGTGGCTCACTGCCAACGATCACAGAGGATGCTGAGGAGAGGCCCAATGGCGCTGCACCTGCCGCCAACGAGGCTTCGGCCGAGGCTGAGGACGATGAGGACGAAGATCCGCCAATGCCCCCCGGATTCCCTGCCGAAGACGACTTTGAAGGCTTCCTCTGCTACAAGTGTGTGGGGGCACACCCCTGGATCGGGAAGTACGCCGGCACCAAGGGTTTCCTCCCTGCCGTCTTTGCTCATCAAGAGAAGAAGGCGGAGAGGCCGTCCGTGGAGGAGACGAACGGCACCTCGAACAAGCGCAAGGCGGAGGACGAGCTCGAGGACGAATCACAATCCAAGCGCGCCAAGAGCGAGCTGGGTCCCACACCAGACAGCACAGACAAGCCCGCCCCCGAGGCGCCCAGTCACGCCGCTCCAGCGCCAAACGCCGAGCCGGCCGCGGAATGCAAGTGGAGCGCCCTGCCCGCGCCGCCGGCCGAGGCTTTCTCCCTCTTCTTCGCCGAGACCTTCCGCGAGAACCTATGCCGCTGCTCCAGCTGCTACGTCGGCAAGCTCAACGCGCACCCGCAGCTCCTCGAGGAGGAGGAGACGTACGAGCCGCCGCTCTCCGACGGCGGCGGCTCCGACAACGGCGGCGGCTCGACCAACGGCAGCGGCAGCCTCCTCGAGCGCGGCGAGAGCGCCCTGCGCAACGTCGACCGCGTGCGCGCCATCGAGGGCGTCATGGCCTACAACCACCTCAAGGAGCAGCTGACGCCCTTCTTCAAGCAGTTTGCCGAGAGCGGCCAGGCCATCGGCGCCGAGGACATCAAGGCCTACTTTGCCAAGCTGCGGGGTGATGAACAGGGCATCAAGGAGGCCGGCGAGGCGGCCGGGGGCCGCGGCAAGGACGGCGACGATGGGTCCCGGCGGGAGCAGAGCGGCTACTGAGTTGCGATTGCTGCGCCACGGGACGTTGGCGTCTGGACAGGCTACGCCGACGGGATTGGGGGCCCAGGAAGGGGCATGTAGTATCAAGTGTGTATTTGGGTGGTATCGGGTCTCGTGACTGAGAAAGACCCCGGGTGGCGTTCTGGGATGCCTGTCGCGAGGCGTGTGGCAACAGACTGTTGTGGTATAGCGATGAAAAGAATGAAAATGGTGTTGATGTATGGTAGCATGTTGTAGCCCTTGGGAACAATTCTGATTGTGAGGTAAGAATATTCCTTCCATGACTAGGCACTGAGTACATGTCGTGAGCTCGTGGAAGGGATATAAGAGGTTCTTGTTGTGTTCTTTGCCAAAGCGCATGAGACAGATGTGTTTCAGCAAAGTGGTTTACAATTATTCCAGAAGAACATGATCACATACATCTTCATCAGTCTTTCCAACAGTACTGCTTTCATGTTTGGAACCAAGCTACGCTGTCTATGTAGTTATCATGTTGAAGACTTTGGTGCGTCTTCGCGGGGCGCACCCTCCAGATCCACCAGGTAGGAGCCCCTCCATCGCAAACCCGTCGTCAGATCCATGTCAGCAGGGGCGATCATCACGACTGGTGTCCTTTTGCGGTGAAGCTTCTCCCACGAGCAGTACGAGGCCAACACGACCATCGGGATGGCGATGCCTAGATTGTCACGGACAGTGTCTTGTGCGTTGTGGATTCCGTACAGGGGGTAAATGGAGGTGAAGATGCTCGCGAGGAGACCTGTACTGCAAATCGCAATGCCGATCCATGAGCCCCATACGCCGAAAGGACTGGTCCACAAGAGCTCGTCGAGACTGTGGCCTTGTGTGTGCCACGCCCGGCGAAAGCGAATATGGCTGGCGCAGATAGAGAGCCAGGTATAGTAGTTGCAGGCTCCAGAAAGACTCAACAGCCAGTCGAATATAACAGCGCCTCCCGGTGCCACGTTGACAAAGGCGGTCAGGCCGATGGTAAAGGCCAGAGCAAAAGCATAGATAGGGACTCCCCACTTGATGGTAGCTGCAAAGCGAGGTCCCATGCCCTGCTCGCAGAGAGCCTGCAGCGCGCGGCTAGAGGCATAGATGCTGGCGTTGGCCATGGAAAGCAGTGCCAATACCACGAAGACGTTGAATAGATCCGGCAGCACTGTGATGCCCGCTCGCTGCGCAGCCAGAGTAAAAGGGCTGACCTGGGCGCCATGTCCAATCTTTGCGAGACCCGGATCCTGGGAGTCAACGACGAAGCCGAGGAACAGGAGAGTGAGAACATAGAAGATGGCAATCCTGAAAAAGGTAATCTTGGTAGCGAGCGGAAGAGCTCGGCGAGGGTTGTTGCACTCAGCGGCCGTCATGCCGAGAAGCTCAGTCCCTCCGTACGCCATGCCTGCGATACGAAATAGGGTCATGAACCCAGGGAATCCGTTTGCGATGACGTCGCGTGTCGTCCAAAATGTCACGCCCGTGCCGTGTCTGTTATATGTTAGTGAAATCCTCCTTCACGGCGAAATTGCTTTGTTTACCTCGCATCGGATGGGACAGCCCCAGCCATGATTGCAATCGCCATTCCTATGAAGATCGTCAAGGCGCTGACCTTTGCAATCCCGAGGCCATGTTCGACCTCGCCGTAAAATCGAGATCCTCCAAACGAGAGGGCGATCAGCCCAGCCAGAATTGGCGCGATGATGACAGCGGGCGATACAGTTTCGTTCCAAAATCTGATTTGGGAGACAATGCAACTGAGCTCGAAGGGAAATATAATGAGCCAGGCGAAGACAAAGTTCCATCCCATGGTGAAGCCCCAAGGCTCGGAGATGAAGCGCCTGGCGTATTCGTAAAACGAGCCTGCCACAGGGTACGTAGCTGGCGCTGTCAGTTCATGGCGGCAGTAAGGAAAGCCGGAGAACATACCCGCGAGCTCTCCCAAGCTTCCCATGGTGACAGTCACACCAACACCGACAATAGCGAAGCTCAGGACCAAGCTGAGCGGACCGCCAGCGTGCAACGCGCCACCTGATCCGACAAAGAGCCCGGCGCCGATAGAGCCTCCCAAGGCGATAAATACCATGTGTCGAATGCTGATATTCCTCCTTAATTTGTCACCCTCGCTTTGCGGAGCGGGTGGCCCTACTAGGGTGACGGTACCGTCGTTGGTCGTTTGAGACGTCTGATTGCCCATTGAAGGCATTGATGCCGAGCTGTCTGCGCGAGGCTTCTCTGTGACCTGCACATGGCTCGGCCCAGGATCTGCGCTCTGAGATTCGTCCATGGTGCAGTTTTGGTACGTGTGATCTGAGTTGTGCTGACTTCTAGGGTATTGATGTTGTGGATAGTGTAGAGACGGAAACTCTGGGCGTAAAAAAAGGCCGACGGAGTAGAAGGGCGAGACGAGACTCCAAGCTACGGCCGTTAGTACATGCTCGGATGGCCGCAATGGAATGATATATGTAGCTCGAGGAGCGGGTGGCAGTTATGCACGGCCGAGCGAGCAGCCTCAGGGTGTTCTTCTTGTCCATAGCCACCGTCCACTGATAAGCATCGTGACGCGCCGAAGAGGCATGATTCTCGTGTTGTGGGGAAGTACCCAAGGTAACTGAACTAGAGAGTAGGTGGTGAGATAAGGCCGGATCCGAAAATCATTTCCGGAAGGACTGACTTTGGGGCGTCCTTTCCTTTGCTACCTTCCTTGTTACCTTCCTCGCTCCTCCTCTACGACTCGGGAATGAGGCATCGCCAGTAGGCATTCTCAACGAAAACCCTCATCGCCAGGCATCATTCCGAGGCACCAACTGCTCACAGAGGCCAGTGCGTGTCTCGTCTCGTCCAGGCTTCTGCTCTGTGGTAAACTGCTCGTCACAGTATTCGCACACTTGAGCAACTGAAACTGTATCCTCTCTTCGCTTGCAATGAATAGTATTGTTACGCCATCTAGTTCACAGCAGCAGCAATGGGATGACCATCGGTTAGCATCCAGGCAAGGGGAGATCTGACGATGACAACGAGTGACAGGGTGAAGGTTTGTTCCCTACAAGGTTCGGAGTGGCTTTAAATAATCTTTGTCGGTGGCGAAACTATGTTGCCACTGAGCCTCGACCTGACTTGCCTGTGGTGGCTTCATCCGAACCGACCATGATAGACGTAGGGGGGTCTGATCCGGATTGAAAGAGGCTCTGCTTACGCCGGAGGCCGGGAGACACCATCCAGCATCAGCTGGTCCTTGGATCCCCCCCAAAAGACAGGAACATAGCCTTGACCTCTTCCATACAGCATGGTAGTTGTGATAATTCTGCGATGACCATAACAAGGCACAGACTTGCCTACGTTAAATACCTGGTGCTTAACAACCCTCACACAAAGCCTGTCGGTCACGTATTTCGCATGTTGGACAAGGCATCTAGGCCCTGATGCGTAAAGACAAGCTCGACGGCCAGAGGGGTGATGGCTCGCCCTGGGCGTTTCTAGCTTTGCTGTAAAAAGTCCGGCCACAAGTCTCCCAGAGAGCAAGGAAGAGGAGACACCGGCATAATGGGCACATGGCTGGCACAGAATTTCTGGGCTCGAGTTCTTGGGATGCTTCGAGGCCCCCAAGTGGTATAGTATTGAGTTTTGTACATGCCTAGAACAGACGTCGTACGCCTGATGAGTGATAGTCCAAAACGCCGCGCTCCATGCAGTGATAAAAGTGATGAATGTCCTTGGCGGCGCTACTGCCCCGAAGACCCCGTGCTCGATGCAATGCTCGAAGGCCGCGAAGGGTTCGTCGGGATGCCCGCCGAGATGCCCGAATCGCGCTGCATGGCCACGCCGCCTACGCCGGCGTTGTCTCCCTGCAGGTGATGCATCTGCATCTGCTGGCCCTCGTCGTCGGTCTCCATCTGGCTTCCCGCGAGCTGATCCTGCTCGTTTTTGCGCTCCACGTCCTGCAAACGCTCCTTCTCGGCGGGGTCGACAATGTCATCATCGTCGCTCCAGTACGGGTCATCGTCGGGCAAGTCGGGCATGGCCATGCGCTTCCAGAAGCGCAGCTCCTGACGCGCCGCCGTGTCGCCGACGCGGCGGTCCCACCGCTCGGCGTCCTCGTCGTAGGTTCGCCGAAACTCGCGCAGCAGGCCGTTGGCCTTGCCGGCGCGGTCCTGCATCTCCCAGATTTGCTCACGCAGCTTGCTGTTCTCGGCGCGCGCCTCGGCGAGCTGCGACCGGTAGGAGCGGTGCCATGACGACACGTCGGCGACGTGCTTGGCTTTGTACTCGTGGAACTGCTTGAGCATGGACGCCAGGGCGGTTGCGTACTGCGTCAGGAGCTGGGCGTTGGCGTCGCGGCTGTACTTTGCCTTGTCGAGCGATTCCGAGAGGAGGGAGATGAGCGTGTCGATGTTTTGTTCCTGGGCTGGGAGATGGTCAGCAAGCTGCTTCTTCTGGTCGAGGGCCACAGGCGCAGGCAAAGCGCACCGTTGATGTCCTCGGCGGCGACGTTGATGAGCTCCTCGTTGCTCAGCCCCTGGATGCGGGCCCGGCTGCGCACGCGACCAAGGCCGGACACGATCTCTTCTGTGGCGCGGCGGTTCTCGGCAAGCTGCCTGCTCAGCTCTTCGACGAGGCCATAGATGTAGTTGAGTTCGGCCTGCTGGCCGGCCGGGGTGGCCACGCCGATGCCGTTGGGCGCATTGCCTCCCCCGTTGACGCCGTTCATGAGGAGAAGCGCTTGTTGGTGTTGTTGCTGCTGCTGCTGTTGCTGTTGCTGCTGTTGCTGCTGCTGCTGTTGCTGCTGCTGCTGCTGGTAGAGCTGCGCTTGAGCGAGAGCTTGTTGCTGGGCGGACACGGCGCCTGTTTGGGGTCCCTGGCGGTTAGGGAGAGGAAGAGGCTGGTTAGGCTGGGCGTCGTGGAAGGAGGGGGGAGCGGGAAACATGGTTTATAGGGCGTTCCCTGGATTTGGGTCGATGTATCGGGAATGGTTGGCGTTGTTGGCGGTGGAGCTGGACAGGGCCTTTTGGCATGGGCTACAACCTGTAGGCGGGGTTGTGGTTACAGGTGCGTGTGGTCGGAGTGGGATGTCATTTGCGGGCGCCAGCTTTCAGTCCAGGTCCGTGAATGTGGTCAATTGTCGCGATGGCGCTTATCGCTGCTGTTCAAAGAAACTGCGATATTGGATAAGGCGAGAGAGGAGGGAACAAGATCGGTTTGCTCTATATCACCTCGCCTCGATTGATGGATACCCTTGCCATGGCATAAGATAGCTCAATCTCGGGTACCTGTAGTTGCCCACCGGCCTACCTACCTAGGAAGTAGAATGGGTAAGGTACCTTAGGTACCTAGGTAGGTAAGGTTCACGGGCCTCACCTTAATCAGACAAGCGTCACAAAGCAAGAACATTGCTTGAAAAGGCATTTCCTGTATTGCAGCTTTCAGCCGATTTCTCTCGTCTGATCCTCTTGTCTGGTCTTTGATTCTATCCTACACACGGCCTTCGATTCGATTGTCCCTCCTCTACGGCTGTTCCACCCAGATGTATCCTGTGCCAAGTGGTGAGTGAGCCTAGCCCGCGATGCAGACATGCACCGCACAGGCGGCTGTGTTATTGCCAGCCATGGTGTATCAGAACTTCCTGCCGAGTGGTCAGAGAGAGTGGTTTTGTCGGACGTTTCTTGACATACCTGTCGTCACAAGCGACTGTGGAATGCCGCCTACTACTGGACCCTATCCAGGTCCATGGAGTCAAGGACGACCTTCTGGTTGTACAAATGTTTGTTGAGGATGGAAGCCTTGGGAGTCGAATCACCGTCGCTGTCGTCTCCGGACGAACCACCGTCATGGACATCCTCCTCCAGGGCTTTTCTGTGATGGGCTTCGCGGATTTCACGCTCCCGAGCAGCATCGCGACCAGCCATGGTATTGGTGCGCTGCATGGCATCGTGGGAACGCTTACCCCGAAGCTTGGGACCGGCAGAGCTGACGTTGGGCTCGTTGTGGTCGGCGGCGCTAGCAAGATCGGGGCTGCTGAAGCTGCGGTCGTACTCGCTGCGCTTGTGCATGGGACGAGGGCCGAGGGGTCGGCCGAGGGGGCGGAACTGAGGGTTCGGGTACGGGTTCTCAGCCCGGAGCTCTTGGTAGAGTCTCTCATAGTTGGGAGGAACATCGTTGCCTGCGAGAGGCCCCTCGATCAGGGAGGCCCTGGTACTTTCCACGGGGGGGATCGCACGACGGAGGCTGCGCTGGATGGGGCTGCCGTTCTGGTCGACAAAAGGGCTCATGTAGCCGCGAGGGGTCTTGAAGGCACGGGGTAAGACAACCGGATCGACGCCATCCTCCCAGTGGATTGATGACTTTCCAGTCGGCGTGCGGGGCCTTTCCACAGCATGGGCTTCTCGGACCGGAACGGGGAGGGGTCGGCTGGCAGTGATGGGGTTGTCGGTTACGATGACCTGCTCCAAGGAGTCGTGAGCTCCCATGACACGCTTGCTCACGAACATGGGGCGAGATCCATCATTGGGGGCTTTAGGCTCCATGATTTTTTTGCCTGCTGTCGTGGCCGTGTGGTTGGTACTTAGGTCGAGAAAAGGACGAGGCTGATCAGCCAAGTAAGAGATGGGAGTTGAAACGGTGAACGTTGAAGCCAACGGCGGATTCCGGGTGCCTTCTCGGAGTAGAAGATCAGTAGCTCAAGAAGAGTCAAGGCCGACAATAGTGCCTGCTGAATAACAACAACGGCCACGGCGGCGACGACATCGACAACAACAACAGCGATGACGGGGACTAACGGGGACCCAGGCCATCAGGTGACTAAACGACCAGGTGGCGGCCGGACGACGACAACCGGATGTAGCGGCCAGATGCAAGTGAACGGGCGGTCCCATGGCATCGACATTGAAAGGTAATGGACCTGAGTAGCTTTGACCACAATGATCACAGCGGAACGCTTGGGTCACAACGGCGAGGTAGAGTTATCGATAGCCATGATTGGATCTGTTAACATATGTCGTGTATGCTCAACTCAAAAGCACAGATAGGGATTTCTAGACAGCGTAGTATATGAAAGAATGGAGAGCAGTGACAGTTAACTGTATCAATGAGCTACCCACAAGGAGAGCTCAGTACAAAGAGATTCGTGGCAAATATATTTGAGTGTAGACCCGGCTGAACGACTAGACATCTATTGCGCATGTAGTCGATGGGGAACTGTTCCAGGCGACCTTGCGTGATCGTAAGATGTTCGGCGCAGTTTCCAAAGCAGTTTCCGGCCAGCGCCACGTTGATGTTACATTCTCAGGGCAGATGCTCTGGGTAGGGAATAATCAAACACCCAGTCAAATGTCATGCATGACCAGGCAACCAACGCATGGCAAGTGTCCCTCCGTCGAGCCACTGGTGTCAGCGCATGCAAGAAGCGGGACGTGTCATCGGGGCCGAGTGAACGCTCTAGACTCCGATGCTGAGGTCGGACTATGACAGTCCGAAGGCCAACCATGGTATTGGATGAGTCGATAAGTTCACGAGAAGGGAACTTGGCAAGGGGACTAGAACAGGTTGCAAGAAATATCAAGCTCATGGTGCATGTGTACTAGGCAATCACTGCGGCAGCAGGAGAGAGCTATCCAGCGACTCGCAATGAGAGGGCCCTGGGGATGTAGGTAGGAGTGGTTTGGAATTCTCAAGACAGAACGAAGCAAGGATGCTGTCAAGGGGTTGATCGCTATGCTCTCCTAACCCAACATGAACCAGGCTCGCGCGAAGTTGGCCAGGAATCGTCTTCGATCTGTGCCTCCTCAGCATACTTCGCGGACATCAAGCGAGCAATTTCAGGACCTGACACCACGCGAGGGGAAGGATCGCCTGGGCAAGTCAATCCAAAAGCTCCATTAGGTTGAGGATAGAACTTGATCCAATTTGTGCTGCGTTTGAACCTCCGCTGTAGAGATTGACGAACTGTCGTTGAAGCTCCCGAGGGACGGGGCCAGGCCTGTGGCTGACACACTGTGAAATGGTTGACTAGCGCATGTGGCGGTGCAGGCATCCTGAACACGCCAAAAAATTTGGAGCCTCGCGAACACCGCAAGGAGGAAGCCACCTGCAACCGACCCAACACCACATTCGATCAACACAACCGCCACAATGGCCGCAGCAGGATACGCCGTACGGCTATGTCTCCGAACATGCCGCCAGGCGCCCGCCGCGCGACTGCTACCCACGGCTGGCCTTTCAATGGCGCCACGCCGCGGCCTCACAACGACGGCGACGACGTGGGCGCCCGGCGGCGGGCGCAACCGGGGCTCGGCCAACCCGTACGAGCACCTCGAGGATGCCTTCAAGGACCTCTCGCCAGAGCAGCTCAAGGCGCTGGAGGCGGCGATCAGGGAGGACGAGGGCCCCGACTCGCCGGCGTCACTGAACGACTTTCTGTCGGCGGAGGAGCCCGAGCTTCGCAAGGAGCAGGCCTTTGACGCGCAGTACAGGGAGCTGATCAGGCAGAAGCCGGCGCAGCGCTCGTCGCTCTTCTACGACGAGCTCGACCCGGAGACGGTGACGGAGGATACGGGCGCCGAGTTTGACGAAGACGACATCACGTCCCTGGCGCACGGCAAGCTGGACGAGATCAGGGAACACCGACACTACGCCCGCGTGGCCGCCTGGGAGATGCCCCTGCTATCGAGTAAGAAGGGACCGCGATGCGAAGGGGGGACATACGCGTGGCGTGCTAACATGGGGGGGAAAACAATAGAACTCGCCAAGCCGTTTGAGCCGCCGACGAAGGAGCAGGTGCTGCGATACCGATACACGACATACATGGGCGAGAACCACCCGGCAGAGAAGAAGGTGGTCGTCCAGTTCTCGCCGGCCGACCTGGGCTTGACGCCGGTGCAGGCGAACAAGCTCAAGAAGCTGGCGGGGACGCGGTACGACCCGGGCAAGGACACGATCAAGATGAGCTGCGAGAGCTTCGACCACGCCGCGCAGAACAAGCGATACCTCGCGGACCAGGTGGACACGCTCGTGGCTGCGGCCAAGGTAAGGCATTCGCTGGCGAGAGGCAAGCGGCACGAACAGAGGATTAACGTCAGACTACAGGACCCCAAGGACACATTCGAGGACATTCCTCTGGATACGCGACACTACAAGCCGGTGGTCAAGCCCAAGTTCCCCAAGGCGTGGCGGTTGACGCCGGACCGCAAGAAGGAGCTGGCGGCGTTGCGGGCGCAGGCCAAGCAGCTGGACGCCGGCAAGGAGGCCGAGGGACAACTAGTGGACGGGCAGAAGATGATCGACGCGATGCTGGGCGGGCCTTCCATCGTTGCACAGCAGACGCTGAGCAAAGAGGCCATGGCCGAGATGTTGGTGGTCGCGCAGAGGCAAGCGGGGCCCAAGCCCACGAAGCAGGGCAGAAACTAGGGATAGACGGGACGGGAGAGAGCGCTGGAGGATTGTACCATACACCACCACAGTGTCTATCTGTCGTGGGTGGGTGGGTGAGCGGGTGGAGGGAGCTCAGTCATCTGGCCTTGGGGCGCAGGGACTCTTTTGTACAACAGTCGTGTATATCTACGATCAATGTCATGGCATTCGTTCACGTCGCATGGTGCCCGCCAAGGGCTGTCGGGGGTCGGGGGTCAGGGGAGCTATGACAAAAACGATAGGCGGCTAAGCTGGTGTCTCGATCATGGTCGGCCAGAACCATGTCGGCGCAAAAGGAGGTAGATGCCAACGGAGACGGAGTCGACAGAGCGACGCCGGGGTCCTTGTCACGGGGTGTCCAGCCTCGATTGGGCACGCGCCGCATGGTCTAGCACCTGCTCCTGCTGCTGCTGCTGATGCGGGGCCGAGGTATCGACCTGGACTGCAGGCGCTGTCGAGTGGGTGGGGTACCCAAGTACAGCCCGCTGGCTCCCTACCTGCCAGTTGCCTAGGTACCTACCTACCTACCTACCACCTAGGTACCTCACCTTACCTTAGGTAGGGAGGTAGGTAGATGATCCGGCTATCTGAGGTACTGACCTCGTGGAGAACGCAACACCAGCGCGCGTCGTTGTCTGCCTGCTGGCAGCCCGAGAGGTTCGCGCCCGGGAGATCCGCGCCGTTGCATTCAACAGACTCATTCACATGCGCTTCATCGGTTTAGCTTTCTGCCTTGATACAGCGACAGTGCTGCTCATTTGCCAGACCATCCATGCCGTATCACCCCCCCCTCTCCCTTCATCGGGCAACGAGCTCGCTCCCCCCTGCTCGCTTCCCCGCAGCCACCTTGGCGACCTTTTCTCCTTCGTGTCTTGGTACCTAGGTTAAGGTAGGGGAGCAGGCAGGGGAGCAGGTAGGGGAGCAGCCTGACAGCACCCTCATCGGCTTTAAGCACGAGCTACCTGCGCCAGCTGTCTCATCGTGCCGTCCGTCGCCTCCACCCCTTCGATCTCACCCCTTCGATCTCACCATCACCCCCCATTTTGCTTTCTTCAAGCGACACACATTGCGTACATCACCCCTCGGTGCATTCTACCCGTCCACCCATCTCTGCCTGACACAAGGACATCGTCTCGCATTTGCCCATCATGGCAGCCGCTGTCGATCAGAAGATTCCCGCTTTCGAGAACACCTCGTTGGACGACATCACGCGCGTGACGGACACCCTTCGCGCCACCTTCCGCTCCTACAAGACCAAGGACGTGCAATGGCGGCTCGTCCAGCTGCGCAAGTTCTACTGGGCCTTTGAGGACCACATCCCGGCCCTCATCAATGCTCTGAGGCAGGACCTGCGCAAGTCCAAGCACGAAGCCCTCCTGTCCGAGATCAACTGGATCAAGGACGACTGCCTCTATCTCATCAAGAACCTGGAGCGCTTCACCAAGGATGAGCCCGTCGGCGACGTGCCCATGACGTTCATCATGATGAAGCCTCGCGTGCGCAAGGAGCCTCTCGGCATGGTCCTCGTCATTGGTGCCTACAACTTCCCGGCCCAGCTGTCCCTCGTTCCCCTGCTGGGCGCCGTCGCTGCTGGCTGCACCGCCGTCCTCAAGCCCTCCGAGGGAGCCCCGGCCACGGCCATGGTCCTCAAGAAGATTGTCGAGGCCTCCCTCGACCCTTCTGCCTACGCCGTCGTCAACGGCGCCGTGGACGAGACCACGGCTCTGCTCGAGGTCAAGTGGGACAAGATCATGTATACCGGTGGCGCCGCCGTCGGCAAGATCATCTCCAAGAAGGCCGCCGAGACCCTGACCCCCGTGTGTCTCGAGCTCGGAGGTCTCAACCCCGCCTTTGTCACCCGCAACGCCGACATCAAGCTCGCCGCCCGTCGCCTCGGCTGGGGCAAGACGCTCAACGCCGGCCAGGTCTGCCTCTCCCAGAACTACATCCTCGCCGACCGTGCCGTTGTGCCGGACCTCATCGCCGCCTTCAAGTCGACCTTCAAGTCCTTCTTCCCCAGCGGTGCCAAGAACAGCCCTGACCTGTCCCGCATCGTCAACGCCCGTCACTTTGCCCGCATGAAGAAGATGCTCGACAGCACCGAGGGCGAGATTGTCGTTGGTGGCGGCATGGACGAGGCGCAGCTGTTCATTGAGCCCACCATCGTGCTCGCCAACTCGCCTCACGATTCGGTCGTCCGCGAGGAGTCGTTCGGCCCCATCTTCGCCATCCTGCCCTACGACAGCCTCGACGCCGCGATTGAGTTGGTCAACGACCTGTGCCACACGCCGCTCGCCCTCTTTGCCTTTGGCAACGAGGCGGAGACCAAGAAGAGTACGTCGTCCTCGCGCGGTGCCCCTTGCAGCCAGTGTGTGCGCGACCCAGACTAACCCAGCGGCAGTTCTTGACAGGACGACGTCCGGCGGCGCCACCATCAACGACGTCTTCTCCCATGCCTCCATTCTGACGGTCCCCTTTGGAGGCGTCGGCCAGTCGGGACACGGCAGCTACCGCGGCCGCGCGTCCTTTGATCTCTTCACGCACCGTCGCAGCGTCGCCCAGGTGCCCTCGTGGCTCGACAAGTTCCTCCGCGTCCGCTACATGCCCTACTCGCCCAAGGAACTCGCGCGGCTGCAGTCGATGAGCGCCGGCAAGCCCGACTTTGACCGCAGCGGCCACCAGATCCGCGGACTCGGCTACTGGTTCAGTTTCCTCACAGGGTTCGGCGCCAAGACGGTGAAAGGTGCGTTGCTACGGTGGATCATGGCGCTGGTGGCGGCCGTGTTGGCTAAGAAGCGGGGGTTGATCTAGGTGTCTTTGGGCTCTGAGCGCGTCTCGTCTGAGCAGGGCTGTCGGCATCGGGCTGGACAGGCGGAGTCGCCTCGAGCGAGTGATACGCGTCCGCACTCTCGGTTTGGATGAACGGACGGGACGGCATGGGGGACTGCCGGCCGTAGCCTGGACTGGATCTCGGGGTAGGAAGATGGTGGAAAGCAAAATGTATACGTTACGTGTAGTACTCTCGGCTTTTTTTCTTTGTTGTATTGATTGTATTGGTCCTCGCTGTCGAACAGACGGGGAGACCTCGGACTGTACGAAACTATTCCCTGAGCCATGCAGCATACTCTCCCGGTGCCCCATCATCCCCTCGATCGATGCTGTCCACCCACATATCGCCTTGTCCCCCCAATGAATGGACTTTGCTCAGTGTTCGGCAGCCTTGACTTTTTCTTTTTCCTCCCCTGCATGCTCATGCCCCCGTGCCTCGCCCTGGTTCCCATGTCGGCGTGTCAGCTCCGCTCGCGCACCCGCCGGCTCTGGTTCCTCGAGGATGCTCGGAATGGCCGACCCGGCCACATTCATCTCGAGCCCCTCCGCGCTCTCGGCCGCCGGCCCAGCCGGCTCCTCACCGCCGGCGTCGAAATAGCCGGGCCTGACATCGCTCGTCTTCCTGCCGCGTCTCCGCAGCGACGCCAAGGCGGCGTCCAAGGCGCTCGTGCGGCGCGCGGCGTCGGAGCGGGCGAGCTTCCTGCCGCTGCTGCGCGTCTGCTTGGGGTCCGGCGGGTCCGGCGGGTAGAGGGTCGTCGTCTGCAGGGGGTGCGGCGGGCCGTCGTCGGCGGGCGGTGGCGGGGTGCCGTCTCCGTCTGCGTTGGAGGCGGGGTTGGGTTTGGGCTTGGTGACGCGTGCGAGGAGGCTGGCGAGACGGGCCTGGAGGCGGACGCCGCGGGTGCGGGGGGGTTCTGGCAGGGGTTTTTCGGGGGGTGGATGGGGCATTGTAATGTTTGGTAGTGATGGCGTGTGTAGTATTTTTTTTTGTTCGTTTCTTTTTTGCTATTCCTTTTCGAATGCGGGAAGAATGGGTTGGCTGTCGTTGGGATGAAGTGGTATGGCTGTGTTGAGGAGGATCAAGAAGGCTTCGAACGAGGCGATGTGGGCAGTACCTCGTTGCGAGAACTGCCTCGGCGGGTGTCACCTGGCAGACGGCAGGACTCGGGCAGCACGAGAGCGACGGAAGGCGCATCACAGGCAGGATATGAAGCGTCACTGCCGTGGTTCGGGGGGTTCAGGGGGTTCAGGGAGATCCTTCTCGTGGGGGTTCCTTGATCGGAGGGGCGCGTGGACGATGAAGCTCTTCACCAGCGGTGATCCGACGGGCGATGGCTGGAAAAGACAGGGCAAATCACAACAAGGTCCGCTCTCGTGAAACAAATAGAATAAACTGGCTGGCTATGCGAAGTCGTGACTTCCATCAGCGAGCCTCTATTGTGATCAGGTGGTACAGTTCATGGCCTCCTACATCCTCCACTCTTAGGCCGTTCGATACCCTCAACTCTTGGGCTGTTCTACACTCTCGCTCTCAGGCTGTTCCACTGCGCGCGGGCCTCGGGTCCTTTTCCGCTCTGCTCAGAGACCCCGCAGGTGCGAATAGTCCTTGGCGTCCGTTGGCAGATAGCGGTCGGCGAGAACGTCGGCCACGCTCTTCGTCAGAGGCGCCTTCGTCTCGTACCTCTCCCGCAGCGCCCTCTCGACAGGCGTCGACGTGCCCGTCTCGACGAGGTTCACGGCATCCGTCTTGATGGCCTTGGCGGCCTCCTCGGCCTTGTCGTCGGCCATGCCCACAACCTCCTTCACCTTGTCGACCAGTCGGCCGGCCTCCCTCTTGCCAGCCTCGAAGACATGCTCAGCCTTGCCCTTGGACTCGACAGCCTTGCGGTCCGCGACAGCCTTGAGCTCGGCAGCCCGCCTCTCGGCAGCGACGCGTGCCTGCTCAGCAGCAACCCTGGCCTCCTCGGCCCTCGCCTCACCGGCGGCGGCCGTCTTCTCGCGCGCACGCTCCCAGGCCCCCTTGGCCTCGCGCGCAATCTCCTGGCCCTCTCGCGCGAGCTCGCGGCCGCCGGCGGCAGCCCGACGCTTGGCCTCGTCCATCTGGGGTTCTGGGTCGCCAAAGACCGAGCGCCAGGCGCGCGAGGCGGCGTCCTCGAGGCCCACGCGGACGTCGTCCCAGTCGGTGCGCTGCAGGTAGTGGACGGCGCCCTCGACCTCTGCGTTCCAGCGGTCCTTGGCCGTGTCGACGAGGTTGGCACGCTTGGCGGCCTCGATCTCGTGGCGGGTCGGCGGCGGCGCGGGGACGACGGGCTCGAGGAACGAGTCGAGGACGCGGGCCTGGGAACGCAGGAGCTGCGACTGGTGCTCGCGCGTGCGCTGGTGCGTCTGTACGGCGAGGTAGGCGAGGCCCAGGGTCAGCGTGACGCCGCCCGTCTGTTTTTGTGTTCCTCCGTGGTTAGCGCCGCCAATGATAGAAGATGGACGTTGCGTGGGAGATCCGGGGTTCAACGTACGAGGCCAGTGGTGACGCCCATGGTCGGTATTCGCTGTGTTGGTTGTGGTGGTGTGTGTGGACAAAGCGTTGGGTTCCGAGGCGAGAGGACCTGGGTGGTGGGTCGTTGAAGGTCAATTGGCGATGGATTTTTTCCCCTTCTGCGGTGCTCAAGCTGACATGTCGAGCGGCGCTGCGCTTGACGATAATCAGGACGCTTTTCCTGTCGTGGTGTCGAAAGAGGTGGGTGAGGGAATGACGTGGGATGGGAATGGGAATCGCATGTGGTTTCCTGGCAGAGACACACTCGATCCGTTGCGAGGTACTTGGCCAGGAGCCCCCCAGAGCGACTTAATCCGAGTGGATCGACCGGGGACGACCCGGTGCGCCAAGACCAAAAAATTCACGGCTCCCGAACCACCACGACCTCAGCACACCAAACCACCCACTGACGAACCGGCCGACTCTCGTCGATTGCTCGTCATTTCCATCCATCGCCATCGTCCCGTCGACGCCCAGCCGACGACATCCTTCTTTGCACTGCTTGCACATCGTCCCCCGACACCGACACCAACACCAACACCACCGAGCTCTCCACCATGGCTGGCGGTGCCGTCAAGTACAGGCATCTCAGCCGTCACTCGGCCGCCCGACAGGCCCTCCTCCGCGGCCTCGTCACGTCCCTCGTCAAGCACGAACACATCCAGACCACCTGGCCCAAGGCCAAGGAAGCACAGCGCCTCGCCGAGAAGCTCATCACCCTCGCCAAGCGCGACAACGAGGCCACGCGCCGCAAGGCCCAGGGCATCCTCTACGTACGTCTCCTTTTTTTTTTTCCTTCCCCTGAGAACACGCACACCGTGGCGGGAAAGCCAGCCCTGACCGCTCCTCACACGACGCAGACCCCCCACGAGATCCTGCCCAAGCTCTTCGGCGAGCTCAAGACACGCTACGCCGAGCGCCCCGGCGGCTACACCCGCGTCCTGCGCACCGAGCCCCGCAACGCCTACGACCAGGCCCCCTCGGCCATCCTCGAGCTCGTCGACGGGCCCCGCGACCTGCGCTTCACCATGACCGCCAAGGCCGTCGCCCGCGGCCAGCACGAGGGCTGGGCCATGAACGACGTGACCCAGAAGAACGTCGACAAGGTGACGCGGTATCGCGAGGGCGGCAAGAAGGCCCTCGACAAGCTCGTGAGCCAGTTCAAGTGGGTCATGGGCCAGCAGCAGAGGGAGACGGAGAAGAAGATCAGGACAGACGGCGAGAAGGCGACGACGACACTGGACGCGAAGCAATAGGCTGGCAATAGGCTGGGACTGGGCCAGGGACGGGGCCAAGCAACAGACCACATGGTGGTTGAGCACGGGAGCGTGGGACGGTGTCGAGACGCTGGGAAGACATAAGGGCGGGATTGATCCATGTTCAACTGGGTCGAAACTGGGCCGCCCGATCAAATGCGGCGCTGTACGATTATACACACAATTTGGGGGTGTTTTTTTTAAGCGGACTGTGCAAGGACGGGCATGGTCTGTAGGGTATTATATCTATCCATTCTGTACAATTCCACAATGTACCACGACAGAGAAGGCAGAGAAGACAGAACAAAGATTTCGTCCACCACTTTTTCTTGCTCCTCTCCCCCTGCCTGACACTTCTCATACAAAGTCAAACGTGTCCCCCCTCTCCTGGATCATTTTGCCGACCCTCTGGCTGCCGACGATCCGCTCAAGCTTCATGACGTCGTACCGCGAGAACATGACGCGCACCGTGCCCTGGCCCGCCTCGAGCCGCATCTCCGCCTCGCTCTTGGCCAGGTAGTCACCGGCAATCTCGCGGTAGAAGAGCGGGTTCTCCGGCAGGCCGTACATGACGACGCGCCTGACGCCGCGCAGCCGGTACCGGCGGAAGTGGTGCGCCCTCTCCGTGTAGAGCAGCACCTTGTGGCGCCCGCTGAGAAAGTGCGAGCGCGCGCGCGCGGCGTCGGTCGCGTCGGCGTACTCGGAAATGTTGCCAAACGACAGGCTCTCGAGCGCGTCGGCCGTGGCAAAGTAGTTGCGCACGCGCACAAAGTCGAGGTACGACGGCACGAAGAGGAGCGTGCCGGCGACGTCCTTGCCGCGGCGCAGCAGCGCCGGCACAATGGCCGACGTGAAGTAGGCGAAGCGGGCGTCCGGGTCGCGCTCGGCCGACGCCGCCTCGAACCGCGAGAACGTCTGCCGCGCGTGCACCGGCAGCTGCTGCAGCAGGCCCGCGCACGCCGGCTGGAAGCGCACCTTGCCCGCCCAGTTGTGGCACTGCGTGCGCTGGAGCTCCGTCAGCTCGGGCGTCAGGAACGGCGCGAGCACAATCGTCTGCCGGAAGTGCCTGGCCCAGTCCTCGAGGTACCACGACCGCACGCGGCTAAAGTCGCACCCGTGCGCGTCCTTGGGCTGCAGGTTGAGGTGCTCGAAAATGTACTGAACGTGCTCCCAGTTCTGGTTCAGCAGCCCGTCCGCCTGGTCCACAATGACCATCTCGATCGAGCTGAGAAAGTCGTAGTCTGTCGCCTTCTTGTCCTCGACCGAGCCAATGGCCATGCGGAGACCGAGCGGGCTCGCCATGAGTATGTCTGAGTTGTAGAATTGCGCAAAGTATTTGATCGTCTTGCGTGTGAACTTGACGCCCAACCGGAACATGTCGTCGTCGTTGCCGTCAAACAGCTCCAAAAAGTCCGCCGGCTTGTTGTCGCGGAACTTTTCGGACGTGTCGACGTACGCATCTTCGAACCGCTTGCGGTTCTCCTTTTGCCCGGGCTCGAGGAGGTCCTCGATCGTGCTGACCATCTTGGCACATGACTGCCTCGTGGGCAGCAAGAACAATACTTTGGGCCGGACGAAGCCCTGGTCCCTGCACTCCAGGTCGGGGTTGTCCTCCTTGGAGAGCTTGTATGTGTTCTTGATCACTCGGTCTCGCGTCCTGTGGATAGTTAGTGTCGAGAGACATGCCACAAACGTTAGGACAGCTGCCTTACTTGAGAACATGGTTGATGGCGTGCAGGCAGGTAATTTGTCGGAGGCTGTCAGAATTTCTGACGTTGCGGTCTCCAAACAAGATATCTTGGTAGTTGAAAAGCATGGGCGCCAAAGATTGCTGCACAGGATCGAAAGACGGCAACTTTCGGGACACCACTTCCTTCAGCTTCATCTTCAGCTTCAGGCCGTCAGGCCCCGTGATTGGCGATGGGAGCTTGGCTTCCTCAGCTCCGTCCACTTTGGGAGACATGAGGACTGCACGAGAAAGCTTCGTCACGTGGCGGGAAGTTGCCCACTCGTTTCCTTGGACGGCACGAACCCTTTGCGCCGTGAGAGTCTCGTCGGGGCTGGTGAAGTGATTGTCAAAGGGGTCGGTGGCATCCTCCTCGTCTTCGTCGTTGTCGTCGACGTCAATGTCGTCTTCCGCTTCGGCATGAGCAACAGCCGGGTCCTCCTCGGCTTCCTCGACGAGATCCAGGTCTTCGGGCTCCTTTTCTTCGGCATCCTTTTCTTCGGCATCGTCGTCCTCACTTTCATCGTCGAGTGGCGCACTCTCGCGCTCTGGTTCTTCCGCCGCAGCGCCGCTGTCGAGCTTGCGCCGTTTGGCGTTGCGCCCGGAATCCTCTGTGAAACCCTGCAAAAGAGCCATGTATGGCCTCGCTGCTTTCTGTGTCTGCTCCTCGTCGTCCTCAGAATCGGATCCCTCAAGATCTTCTCCTTCTCCTTCATCAGACCCATAGTCTTCCTCCTCCTCCTCACCAGAAGATTCCTCTTCAGATGACCTGGGCAAGTTAGTCGTGAGATGGCCGCTTGCACCTTGAAAGTCCCATAACTTACGCCTCTTCGCCAACACGGCTCGTTTCGAACCGCGGGCCGGTACCACCTCTAGGAGCGCCCCTGCCTCTTCCACGGCCTCGAGCACCACCACGGCCTCGGAAGGCCCCGCCACGTCCACCTCCACGACCTCGACCAGGCCCCCCTCCTCTACCGCCTCGGAAGCCACCACCACGTCCTCCTCCGCCGCCGCCACCACCACCACCACCACCTCTGCCTCTACCTCTGCCGCGGGGTCCCATGAATGCAGTTCAGTGAGAATAGAATGAGGGGGAAAAAGTGAGAGTCTGGCGTGGCAGAAAACGGTGAATGGCGAATATCAAACTGGGCTGAAATTGAAGAAAAAAAGTTATAAGCCGTATCGTAGCCTTGCAGCATCCAGAAAAACCCCACATGCGCACCAGCCACAGCGGGGCACGGCTCGCCACGGTTGCTATCAGCCTCTATCTTAGCGCCCACAACCCAGTCCCACTCTGCTGCCACAATTTTCGATTTTGAACGACCTCCCGACTTGTCGCGAACGGGACGACGGAGACGACTACACTCACCCCCCCCCCCCCCTTCCTCAGACGCTACCTCCCCCCCCGTTCACTCTCATTCTAGCCATCATCCCTGGCATCTGCCCAGCATGGCTGTAGAATCCGAGAAGTTCCTTCACCTTTCGAGGCCTATCGTGCCTGCGACGGCGAGCCTCCAGGGCAACATTGCCCCGCTCAACGTCAACATCCAGCCTCAGGTACGTGCGACCCCTCTTTGACATGAGGCGACATGAGGCGACTCCAAAGGCCCATCATGCCGTTGTTTTCTCTTCGCTTCCATCATCAAGGATTCTCTGTACTGACCTTCCTTCCAAGGCTATCCTCTCCATCCTTGACCATGCTGTCCGCCGCGACATCAACGACACGCAGTCGACCCGCGTCATTGGCGCCCTCGTCGGCACCCGCTCCGAAGATGGCATGGAGGTCGAGGTCCGCTCCTGCTTCGCCATTCCCCATACCGAGAACGAGGACCAAGTCGAGGTCGATGTAGACTACCAGAAGAACATGCTCGCCCTGACCCTCAAGGCCTCGCCGCGCGAGTCCCTCCTCGGATGGTACACCACGAGCCACGAGCTCAACTCCTTCTCCGCCCTCATCCAGAACTTCTTCGCCGCCCCCGACACGGGCACCTTCCCCCACCCCGCCGTCCACCTGACCAT